GCATCAGGGGGTGTGTGTCCCTTTTCCCTGCAAATGCCCTATGGTGCACCAACCTGCCCCAGACCTGTCCCCAGATGATTTGCTCCCCAGGTTTAAGGCTGAGCAGGCAGCACTGGGGATGTGGATGACCACAATGGGACTGGGACCAAGAGGACCCAGCCTGCCCGACATAAGAGCAAATCTCCCTACAATCTCAATGGCAGTCGTGCTCCTACAGCCCTCCAAACACTTCCAAAAATTTTCCCCGAAAGGAAACGGATCCCGAGCATAAAGACACATTTCTGCAGAAACATGAGGAAGTGGCTCGGCGTTTGCACAGTGAGTCTTTCAGAGCTAACATTTACCCGGATTTCCCAGCGGGAAAGGAGGAAGGAGCAGGCTATATAACCCAACAAACATCTTTTTTCACACACTCGCAGCTTCCTCAAAAAGAAAAAAAAAGGGTTTTGGGAATTCACCCATCCAGGCTTTACCTGCCTCGGACTTACTTCCCCCTCTGCCAGGATGCTGGTGGGGAAGGCTGAGCCCGGAGCTGGCCAGGTTGGGGGCTGTGTTGGGCACCGTCCCAGCTTCACCCTTCCTGCTCAGGACAGGGATGCTTTGTTTGCATTTTGTGCCTGTGTGATCTGAATCACCCCATTGGCTTTTTCCCTTGGGATCCACCTAAAGAGAAGTGTCCCATGGCCACTGCTGCTGCATGGGAGGGGAGAGGCAGGTTCCACCCTGTTACAGCTGCCCCAGCCCCGTGTCGCCAGCACGGACCGAACCCTGCACAAGCCACCCAGCCTTCCCTGGGTGGACTTCCAGCCCACCTCTTCTTGTCTCCGGGGCAATATTTACCAGCAGAGGCACCCGAGGCTGATGCTACCCTGAAATGTCCGTGCTGATACTGCTGCCAGTGCGATGCTCTGTGTCTGGAGCTCCCTTTTCTGGATTGGCTGGTGCTGCTCTGGTAGCACCATCAGCTCTCCATCCCCTGGGACCACCCAGGAGTAGACACCTCCTTCCAGGCATCTGGGGTGCTCCAGCATCTCATTGCAGGGCTGGCTCAAGTCTCGCATTGCCATGGAGCTGGCAAGAGACCCACCTCATGGAACAGCACCCGCCAGAGGCAGTAGGAGCTGGAGAGGTGTTCCCATGAGGAGCAGTGCAGCCCAGGGACCCCAGAAAATCCAGAAGAGCTCAGGCAGAGGACAGCGGTGTCACACTGCTGTCCCCATGCCCCAATCCCCAAGGGCCCAGCACTTGGGAGCACGCATGGGGCTTGCAAGCATTTTCTAGCAAGCTTTGCCTTCTCCCACCCCACCCCAAACCACCCCTGAGACATCAACTAAACCTTTCCCTTCCCATGGGCTGAAGCACAGGTGCAACAGGGTGGTAGGGCTGCAGAAAAGCAAACACGTGTCTCTCCATCCCGAAGCAGTGCCCAACAGGCACTGGCGCTGCCCACACTGCCTGCCATCGGTCGGAAAAGAGAGGGCAGCACACAGGCTGGGGAAACACCCTTGCCCACCCTGCTGGGGCAGCCCACCCGCATCCCGGCAGCAGCCAGCCGGGAAGAGGCAAGAAGGTGGCTGACAGCAAGATGGGACCGTGCCCAGATCCGCTCCACAAGACGCGAGGAGGGCGACAACGGCAGCGGCGCTCCGGTTAGTCACCGCTGGGAAGCGTGCCATGCTGGAGGCTGCTGGCAGGCCGGCAGCATTTTTGGCCACCTGGTGTGCGTGGCCTTATTTTGATGACGATTTCAAGATTTCTCCGAGGAGGGGTGCAGCCGGGCAGCGGGAGCCGGTGGGAAGCACAGAGGAAGGAACAGGAAGAAACTGCGGGGGCTTGTTGGGGACAGTCCCCAGGGTCCCCTGGCCATGGGGCCAGGCTGTCCCCTTAAGGACCAGGCTCCCTGTGGGGCTGTGCGGCTTGGGAGGCAGCTGCTGCAGGTGCTAAAACCGGGTGCCTGTCACCTGCTGGAGGTGCAACCGTCAGGTTGACACATGTCCGGGAGGTTGGGACCAAAGGTCCAAAGGTGATGGGGACATGGGGTCCACCAGCCCCTTTCCTGGCATGGGGGGGACCTCGCAGGGCTCACCCATCCCTGCCCCAATGGCGGCTGGAGGGAGGCAGGGCTGGACACTGGAGCAGGGATGCAGCAGATGCATTTCGTCACCCGGCCAAGGGGCGTGTGTGTGTGTTGGGGGAAGGGGTGGCTGGGCGTGTGGGTGCATTTATTGCCTCTTCCCACCAGTGCCGGCTCCCTGTGCACACATGGGTGGCAGGGACCCAAGGGCACAGCCCACGGCTCGCTGGACTTTTACCCTGCTGTGCAAACAGGCAGGCGCCAGATTAGGGTATCAGTTGGAATTTCATCCTGTCAACGGCACCCGCAGCCTCTCCGGGCGGGCAGTGGAGCATCTTCTCTTCAGCTCGGCCCTGAGCCCACCCATGGGCACCCCAATGCAGCAAGCGCATTTGGGAGATGGCCATTTCATCCCCCCCGGACTCTCTTCCCCTTCAAGCTTCCCCCTTGAGCAAGACCCTGCAGGCAATGGTGGTGGCCCAGGGCTGGGCTGCCACCACCCAGTCCCTTGCCAGGGCAGGATCCCACCGGCCAGTCCCCATGTGGCAACGACAAAATTGGATGTCAAAGGCAGGCAAAGCCCGGTAAGGGAGGAGAATGTGTGTGGAGGAGCCAGCCCCCAGCGTGGACCCCACTTGTCCCAGCTCTTTGGCCAGGTGGCCCATCCAGTCCCATCCCTTTTCCCATATGGTGCCAGCCCCATTTCCTTTGCCTCCCCTGGCCTGTTTCAGCCCCCCGTGCCCAACACCCCCTCGCAGCGGTGGTCCCATGCCGCAGGCAGCCCAGGCGCCGTGCTGGCGAGCATGGGGTCACCAGGGTGCAGTGGTAGGTGCAGCCACTGTCGCAAGATCAGGAAAAAACCCTTTGCTCTGTCCCTCTCTCTGCAATGCCACCTCACCCTGCCCCTGCTCCTCCATCTCCACCCACGAGGACTTTATCCTGCATCAGGTGTCCCTCTGCAGCCACCTGCCCTGCCCGGGCACCCCAGCACACACGTCCCGCCTCTTTCCAGGAAATGCTTGGCACATTTTGGGGCTGGAGGAGCCATTTTGGGCAGGGATTCGAGGGCAGTCCCTTGCTCGGTACCCTACAGGACCGGGGAGACATGGCTGGGATGGAGAGAGGCGAGTGCCGGGCACTGATGCCAGCTGTCTCGGGCACTATCTCACATCCTCATTCTCTGTTTTCTTTTCTTGGACAAGGAGGATATTCAGCCCGTCAACAGCCATAAAACAAGATTAGAGGCCAGGAGGCACCAATGGGAGGTGGCCACGTCGGTGGGCAACTGGCCTTGTTCTTTGGCCTCTGCCAGCCCAAACCCAGCCTCACCCTTTCCCCGGCTGCCCCTGGGGCTGTGAGTTTGCAGCCATCGGGTCGCCCGGCACAGCCAGCCCTCTTGGTGGCAAAGGCCATGGCCACCCCCAGCAATGCCGCTGCAGAACGGGCACACTGCGTGCTACAGGGGCAAGCCTGCTGCATCAAGACATCCATCCGCACCAGTTTTGGCAGGACCCTTCACTCCCAACCCCAGCCACACTTGGGGACATCGGCACCGGTGCATCCCTGGAGCCGGCATCCCTCCCCTGCCACAGCACCATGGGCCCAGAGGAGACAGCAACAAACCCGTGGCATGAGGGATTCCTGCTCGCTTTTATTTTCACCAATGCCTAAAAAATAAAAAGGAAAACCAATTCTGCCTTATATACACAAAATCTGAGCCAACGTCCTGAGCCAATGCAAACATTCGTCCTTGCCACCGAGCACAGCTGGCAGCGGTGGCCAAGGGAAGTGGCAGCGGCCCCCGCCGGAGGGAGACCCAAATCCTATGAGAGCTGGAGCGGGGCGGCGGGTGCAGTGGGATGGCAGGGACCGTGTGTCTGGGCACCTTGTTTTCTGGGCTGTGAGGGGCTGGGAGCAGTGTGAGGCTGGCAGTGGACAGGATGGCCGAGGGATGAGATGAGTATTGGGTGTAATGTGAGGGCTCTGCAGGCAGCGGGGGACATGTCTGCTGTTCCACCTTTCTGGAACACAGAGAAGCGGTGCTGGAAAGGCCATACAAGCTGCCGTGTAGAACCCATGCACCCTCATCCCTGTCCTGGTCTTGGGAAGCCGCAGCCCAGGAGCACCCGGCACAGCCCCGAGCAGGAGCCACAGAGCCTCCCGTGTCCCAGCCGTGCCCCGCTGGCCTTTGGGGCATCGGGAACTGGGGCCAATACAGTGGCCAGGACTCAGCAGGGTGAGGGGATGTTTCAGCTGCAGTTCACCAGCAGGAAAAGAGGGGTATCGGTTACTGGCCTGGGGCACACAGAGGGCGAGAGGTGCTGCAGGGCATGGCGGAGCGGGGAGATGGAGAGCAAAACCTGGAGTCCTCTGGGTTTTGAATAAAATAGGAAAAACCCACTTCTCTGTCTTTCTGGAAACCACCTCTCCATCAGTGCCAGCCCTTCCTTGGCCTGAGACAGCCCCTGTGCTCCCCAGCAGCAGCTCCTGGTGGCCACAACGGCTGCACTCCCTTGGAGCAGCACCACAAAGCTCTCCTGGTATCGGCCCTTCTGGACGGCCTGGGGCTGGTTCTTGCACCCCGTCCCAATGGCAAATCTTCACGTTCTCCTCCCCTTACCCATTGGAAGGTGGTCTCAGGGCTCAGCAGGGTGGTCCATCTCCCCAGCACCCAGCTCCTCTCCTCTCCTCTCCTCTCCTCTCCT